CAGCAGCAGGGACATCATCGGCAGCAGCAGGAACAACAAGAGCAGCAGCAACAACGAGACTAGTTCTCGTCGACGAAACACCGCCAACACCAGCACAACAGCTCCACCCAGCACCAAGAGAAGTTCATCGTAGCGCAAACTTCATCGCCAGCTTCTACTCCAACTCCGACATGTACCGACGATCACCCAGTCATCGCGCCGACGAAAGTACCTGGCACGCAAGGATGGGACACCCAAGCAACACTGTGTTAAACAACACAATAAGAGCAGGAGTCCTTGACAAGGACTCGTTACTACTACTCGACGGAAGAGAACTCCAACGAGCACGAGGAACATGCCTCACCTGCCCCGAAGCCGACTTACTACATCGGCCGTTCACTCCTCGTCACAACCCGAGCGCACCCGCGTACGCACCACTCGAAAAGGTGTATAGCGACATCCTGTACAATCGGGAGCCAGGACAAGTAATCTACAACTACACAATCACCTTCATCGACGCTGCCACCCGCTACGTCTGGCACCTAAACTTACCCAGCCGCGACATGGCCCTCAAAGCATTCGCTGCCTGGCTACCAGTAGCAGAGAGAGAGTCAGGCGTAAAGCTCAAAAGCTTCCAGTCAGACGGAGGAGGAGAATACACCTCTCAACGTTTCAAGCAGTACCTGGCGGAAAGGGGCATCAAGCAGCTTCTCTCTCTTCCCTACGCCCATCAGCAGCAAGGTGTAGTAGAAAGAATGAACAGGACTCTGCAGAACAGCATGCGCAAACTGTTACGTGGCATGCGGCTTCCCAACCACCAGTGGCCTGCAGCAATGGACCACGCTGTTATGCTACACAACTTGCTGTCTTCATCATCGCTTCCGAACAACGCATCACCGCATCTGCTGTGGAGAGGGAAACAGGGCAGCACAAAAATGTTACGCGTGTTCGGATGCATGGTACAGTACCGTATCCCCCCGGATATACCCCCATGGGGGGCAATAATAAAACAGGTTTTTTCATGGGGGTGGGCTTATAATCGAGTAAATTTATAAGCGCCGGCGTTTATAAAATGACATACATATTTTTTTATATCTTTTAACACCAAACTGTAGGTCTCGTGCTTGCCTTTTCAATCGAGTCGAAGTTACATGGGATCGTCTGTGAAATTCTCGCGCGCGCTGGGAGATACACCCAATCTGACTCACATCCAGCTCCTGATAGGTCCTGCTGACTGGACCCGCATCCAGTGCAGGGTCCGAATGTGAAGGGAACCGAATCTGCAACATATCCGCCTGCTAAAGTAAAAATCGTTACAGCTTTTTGAACACATTTCAAATTTTAAAGTTTACGTGCGCTTATAATAAAACAAGTTTTTTCAAGGGGTGCGCTTATAATCGAGGAGGGGATATAAGCGCCATATGCCAATTAGAAGCGCCAGGCGCTTATCCTAGGGTGGCGCTTATATCCGGGGGGAGACGGTATCGACCCCCAGCAGCACGAGCGGGCCGATTTTCACAACGCGCACAGTGGGGACTACACCTCGGCATCGAAAAGAATTACAACGCATGGAAAATCTTCGACGTCCACTCCAAGGAAACAGAAGCAACACGTGACGTAATTTTCTACGAACGACTCACGCTCCAGACGTACCTTGCCAACCTGCAAGAGGACCAAGATCCCACAGGTGGTTTTCGTGGCGACCGAGCCTTCGCCTCCGCAGAAGACAAGCTGACTGGGACGAGCAGAATGTGGACAACGCGTCAGAAGAAGCCGGACCTCTTCCCTTTGTTAACGCTTCCGCTACTACATCACTCTACCCAGAGATTAACCCTACCAAAGATCCGAAGGGGCACTCAACCCAACACCCTGGACCGAATGCAACCCTGATTGGGTAGTCGTGTTGCGAAGTGCGTGTGCGCTGGCATGGGTCAGGTTCATGTTCGATGGACATGGCCTGACCAACAAGGCAGGGAAGGCGTGAAGCCACGCCTTGTTTACCTTTTTACGCTGAAAGCATGCGCAGTTTCAACAATGCTTTGATTTTATATCAGAAAAAATAAATCATTTTTGGCATAACGTTAACGCCGACGCTAAATTTACTCAATTATAAGCCCGCCCCCCTAAAAAATCATGTTTTCTTATATCCCCCCATGGGGCCTTATCCGGGGGCTGACGGTATGATGGAAGCGGCGAGAGGGTGGTGCGGTAATGAAAGAAGCATTACTGAGACGCACCAGAGTCAAGAGAGTGACAGGTTAGCGGTGGACACACCTGGGCAAGCAACAGAAGAAGATCCTACACTAGAGACAGCTAAAGTTCATCTAGACACAGACGAGTAATAAGATATAGCAACACTTTTGTCAGCAACTTATAGAGCAGAATGCATGTCAAACATGTCCATACTAAACACTGACAAACTACCGTTCGACAGCGTAGGCCAGTGTGGAGGGGAAGCCAGAGGCCCAAACGGGTGTGGTAGAGGTCGCCGAGGTTGCGGAAGCAGCGCGTGTCGGAGTGATTGAGACGCCCGTAGGCAGTGCCAGCACCCGGATCAACAAAACCTGCTACTGGCAGGGCTCGGTAGGGGGACGACCCGGCACCCAGCAGTCGGCCCCACCAACGCAGCTTGCAGTCCCCGAGCCACCAGGTCCACTACTGCTGCGAGGCCCACTGCTAAATCTGCTGCTATTACAGCTGCTGCTAGAGCCGCAACGGCTGCTGCTACTGGTGTTGCTTAGTCACTGCCACAACCCCAGGACCAGCACCCCCTTCCTGAGCCGCACCTCCAGGACCAGCACCTCCTCCGGCTACACCTCCAGGATCAGCCCTCCCAGCGCTAGCACCTCCACCCCCTCCACTTCGAGGACCACATATGCGACGTCGCTGCCCACCAAAGGTGGCCACTGGTGTGGCCTCCGCCGTAGTAGCAGGCTCAACAACAACAGCAGAGGCTTTGGGGGTAGAGAGTAGGGTCGGGGCGGCACACCCTTCAAAGATGGGTGGAACCACTTTAACACTGGAGGATGCTATGGCGCGAAGGCCAGTCTCGATCTCAGTAATTCATGCCTCAAAAAGATCGACATCGAGGCTCGTGAGGTGCATAGCGGGGAAAGCATCGTAAGCATGCGCGAGTCAGTCGGGGAGGTGGGTCGCGAGGAGGTTCTGGGTAAGATGCATGGGAGAGGGGTGCGCATCAAGGACCTCATTAATGCAAGCTGCACGGTAGCTAGCGTTTAGCAAGCGCATCCGTGTAACAAGGTTAGCGACAGCGGCATACACAAGGAGATGGAACGGCAGGACGAGGTGGCCTAAAGTAGTAGAGGAGGGAGTGGAGTAGCGAGCTACAACATCGTCAAAGCACTCATTCCCCATTCCCACTTATGAAAGTGTTCGTGCTCGGCCTGGCGGGAGGAGGCGACTGGCAGCAAGGCGCGCAGAAGCGTGACGCACCTCCCAGAGTGTGCTCTCGAGCCGGGCCGCATAGTATTTCTCCTTCTGCGCCGGCGTGGCGTTAGTAGCAAGATAAGAAGGACGTGAGAGGGCTGGAATCTCACCCAAAACATGGTGGCCGTACAGCGGGATGTCATTCTGAAGCTAGCTCCGCAAGTAGAGCTTAACATCAAGCAGCCACACGGAATAATCGACCGCACGTTCCCCAGCATCAAAACACTGGACGTAGTCTGTTGCGGTAGCGCCAAGGAGCAGGGGCACGACTACAGCAGGCGAGGGGAAGCAACCACATGAAGAGGAAGAAGCAGGTAACGGGAAACCCTATACTGCAAGTGCAGGCATGGTGGATGGTGCTACTACGAGTGCACGATAGGTGCAGTGGTAGGGCGCGCAGTCGTTCACAGTATGGCATGGTTGCGCAGGCTGTAGGGGGACACCAGGCACGAGCGGCAACCGCATTGGCGCATATAGAGATGGTCTCGCAAGCGGGTTGCGCAGCTGCGCGGGGTGGCGCGCCGGCGGCACAACAATGCGGGCTAACGGGCGACTGGCGCAAACGGCATGCGCCTGGCGCGCCTAGTGCAGGGTGGCGCGAGCGGCGCGCTGGCTAGCGTGACTAGCGTAGGCTGGCGTGGCGGCTAGCGCAGCTGGCTAGTGCGCAGCTGACACAACTGGTGCGGCTAGCTGGCGCGCTCGCTGGCGCGGCTCCCTGACGCAACTGGCTGGCTTACGCACTAGGGGTGCTCTAGGGAGCGCGCTAAGGAACACTCTAGAGGGGGCAATCTAAGGGCGGGGCGTAACTACGATTAGCTAGGGTAGGCGAGGTGGAAGCGATAACCCAACCTGATCTGATGGTATGTCAATGAAAGAAGGATTGACCAGAATGAGGGCATACATATTAGATACATACCAAACATGCACCCTCTATAGAGAAACCCAAGCAAACTTACACATGCATAAATGTATGAGTAGATTGACATCACATGCGTCTGTGTTAAGCATTTTGTTTGATTCGAGGTGTCTCAACTCACCTGTGAGTCACAAACAATTGTGTTAGACACACGTGTGTCACAATCCGTGCAAGGTGAATGTTTGCCGCAACTTTGAAACTTCACCCTTGAAAACTTTCAAAAATACCGTAAAAACAATCATTTTTCATGTGAAATTTTCCTTTGATGCACAAAAGGGTTGAAACCAGACCCTCAGATTGGTTTCAGGGCACACTGATCAGCCAGTGCTGCACCTAAAAAAAAAACAGATTTACACTGATCAATCAGTGCTACCTGAAACATCTACCCTGATTTGTCAGCCCAGGATTTACGAGCCATTTTATCGTATATGTTAAGTACCAGCGTACACACCCACATATGTTCTTGCTGCGCACTAGGGCGGATTCATAACTTCGTGTCATCCGCTATCTGTGTCATCCAAAATTGTAGGATCCAATCAGAAGTTTTCCGATTCGAGCTTCGGTTTTCGATTGGATCCCACAATTTCGAATGACACAAATAGCGGATGCCACGAAGTTAGGAATCCGCCCTTAGTGCAGGCAGGTGTCCCCTGTATTGTCAGAGTGTTGAGAGCACCTGGAGAAGCGCTCTCTCATTGAGTGGCTTCTGCACGGCGCCATCCATGCCAGCCTCTGTGGCACGAGCAGCAACAGCGTTGTCCACATCTGCTGACATGGCCACCACACAAATACGCTGCTGCCGCTGCCATCCCCCCTCCACACCCTCCACCCCACTCTTCCCCACCGCTGGCACGTCTCCTCCCCACCCCTGCCCTTCCTGCGCATCCCCTGCGCCCTGTCCCCCTTGCACCCCCCACTGGGCAGTATGCGCTTTGGCCTCGAGGGCGCGCAAGCGGGCGGCGGTTTGGAAGCCGTCGAGGCCGGGCATGAGGAGGTCCATGAGCACGAGGCGGAAGGAGTGGCGCGCCTGCAGCAGGCGCAGTGCCGCCTCACCCGACTCTGCCAGCGCCACCTCCGCCCCGTACCGCGCCAGCGTGCTCGCTGCCACCCGCCGGTTGATAAGATTGTCGTCCACCACCTGGTGGATGGAGAGAGCGAAAGTCGAGTTCTGAGTCGACTAAAACCGCCGACCCGTACCGTGCCAGCGTGCTCGCTGCCACTGTCATTCATTAGATTGTCGTCCACGACCTGGTGGATGGAGTGAGCGAAAGTTGACCGAGGGGAACCAGAGACAGCGCATGACAGAGAGGAGAGGAGGGTTTTCCGACACATGCGAACGAACGGTGACATTGTCGTCCGGTCCGCCACGTGTTGCGCTAGGCACGGGAGAGCGAGCGGGGTACAGGGGGAACAGGGGGAACAGGGGGAGAAGGCTGAGGGGATGAGAACGGATGGATGGAGACAGCATGTGGTTATTGTAACAACATGAGATAGAATGGATGCATTCGGTAATGAGCTCAAGGCTCTTACATACGTTTGAAATGGCTAAAATATGAATGGGTAGGGAATCAGGGGCAATTCCCGAGAGATCGGTTGAAATTTCCAATTGGCGGGCTGGAGATTTCGGTTGATGACGTTTGGGTGAGGCTGGGATGTTGGTTTAACACCCAACCCACACAAACTACACACATGGGTGGAACAGGAGAGGGGGAACAGGAGAGGGGGAACAGGAGAGGGGGTGGTACACAAATGGGTGGTTAAGGAGGAATAGGAAGATAAGGGCACAGAGGTTGCCTCGAGGCATGTGATGGAGGAACGAGAACGGAGGCATTGTGAGAGGTGCGACGAGGCATATCACATTGCTGTCCACCTACAGGACAAAGAGAGGCCAGGCTGCCAGAGTGGGTTGGGGGAGCGTGGTGAAGTGAGTCCCGGGTGGGTTGTGGGAGTGTGGTGAGGAGTGGCAAACAGGAGAAAGCGGAAGCGTTCTGAGGCTAGTCTGCATGCACTAGTTGATGGGGAATCAACGTTCAGCAGCCTTCCCCACAAACACACGAGATTCCTTCAAGTCTAGATTGGGTTTTCTCGAAAGACACTGTCGGGTCCGGTGTGCATCTCACCAGAATCGCCTTGCCCTGCAGCAACTCCTTCAGCCTCTCCCTCGCACTCTTCGCCTCCACTGCCCGTGGCACAGCTGATGTGTCATCCCCTGCAGCAGCAGCAGCAGCAGCGGACGAAGGCACACAAGTCGACGCTGGCCCAGAAACATCCACGCTGGCTGCAGTCGAATTTCCATACACAGCCACAGCGGCAGTGGCAGCAGCAACAGGCATGGGCAGAGCGACGTGCAGGGTGGTGCCATGGCCCTCTGTGCTGAGCAGCCCAATGCTGCCGCCCATGAGCGACACCTGCCATGCGGGGGAGGTGTTGGAGGTTGGGCGCAGCGCTACAACCGACGACTAAATGTGGACATATGTGGTTAAATGTGGATACATGCGGATAAATGTGGATAAATGTGGATACATGCGGATACATGCGCATACATGCGGATACATGCGCATACATGTGGATACATGCGCATACATGTGGATACATGCGCATACATGCGGATACATGCGCATACATGTGGATACATGCGCATACATGTGGATGCATGTGGATATATGCGGATGAAGGTGGCACCCCAGGGAGGTGTGGGGGGTTGGGCGCAGAGCTACAGGCGAAGAATGAATGTGGATACATGCCTATGAAGGTAAGGTGGCACCCCAGGGAGGTGTTGGGGGTGGACGTTGGAGGTAGAAGAGAGTTGGACGCAAAGAACACACCACACCACGTTGTATCATTTGAAGAGCATGTATGAATCGACGACAGGTAGTTGTGGAGGTCTGCTGTTGCACCTGGTTAGGCTAAGACATGACAACTGTTGAGAACGACTCACCTGTCCGAAACGACTCACCAGTTGCCGACACAAGTGCAGGCTCATGCCACTGCCTCCATGCGCGCGGGTCTGATGGGCGGTGGGGGGTGGGGGGTGGGGGGAGGGGGGTGAGAAGCACGAGAACGCTAAGGCCAGGGTGTTTACGAACTAGCACGTGGAGAGAGGTCATGTTAAGCTGATGAGCGTGAGCCTCGTCATTGGTGTGGCCAAAATGGAAAACAGACGCTGCTTCTGCACTGAGTTTCAATCATCATCGCTTGCATGAGGTGCATGGCATGAGGGGCATGGCATGAGGGGCATGGCATGAGGGGCATGGCATGAGGGGCATGGCTCACCTGCATGAATGCCTGAAACACGTGGCGCTGCTCCTCCTCTGAGATGCCACACCCTGTGTCCTCACATGTCAGCAGCACCACACACCGCCTATCACCCCCCGCCTCCACCACCATGCCCTCCTCTCTGCCTCGCCCACGCCACCACCTCCCCACTGCTCCCCTCCACCAGCCCATCCCGCCACCCCCTGCTGCTGCTGCTGCTGATGCTGCTCTAAACCTCCCTGCTTCACTTACACCATCCGCACTAGGCGCTCTTGTCCCATGCACACAAGTGCATGGTCCCACTCCCCCACGCCCACCCTCCTCCTCATCTCCTGGACCCCACGGCGTACCACGGCCTAGTTCCCGCCTGCGAATCCTCTCGTCTCCGTTTCCGCCTCCTATCGCCACCGACCGTTCTCCACCGTTCTCCACCCCGTGCTGGCGAGGCATCACCCTGTGAGGTGCTCCTCTTAGAGTACACCCGGCATCGCCCACTTCAGATCTTCCAGGTCTCACATCCACCCCATTTCCCCAACTCTCCTCATATCCATCACTTTGTTCCTGAGTGCTTATCCTCAGCGTGTTACCTCCTTCCCTCTCCTGCCCCTCCTCGCACTCCTCCCCTTCCTCGTCCTTCCCCCTCTCCTCAATCGCGTTCACCCCACCTCCCCCACTCTCTCCTCATATGCATCCCTTCGTTCCCCGGCGCTTACCCTCATCCGGTCCTCTTTCCTGTCCTCTCCCTCCTCCCCCTCCTCCCACTCCCCTCCTTCCCGTCTCTCCTCGCTCTCCCCCTGCTCCTGGCCCCCCTCCTGAACCAGGGGCAAGCGCCAGCAGCACCCAAGGCACTGAGCAGACAAGCCTCTCTGGAGCACCGGCTCACTGCATGCACCCATTATTGCCCACGCTAGCCCTCGCTGCCCCACCTGCTCCCACAACAGCACTCTCAGCGGTGGCTCTCCCACTCCGTTCCGATGCACAGCCGCACTGGCAGCACCAGCAGAGGCAGCAGCAGCAGTGGTGGCAGCAGCGGTGGCATCAGCAGCGGTGGTAGCAGCAGCCGCAGGAGAGGAGCAGGCGGGGGTGGGTGCAGCGAGGAGACAGCCGAGGGAGAGCAGATGGGTGGGGATGTGGGTGTCGGGGGGAAGGCACTGCAGCCTCACGCACACACCGCCACTGCTCGTGAACTTGATGGCGTTCTCTGGGGGAGAGCAATGAGCAATGAGCAATGTGAGCATCAACACAAGCGAAAAATGAGCCCATTTTGTCAACTCACAGAGGCGAATTCAGAGAGCAGGTTTGGATCAAAGGGCAGAAAAAGTGCTCAGCTCAGGATCGTGTTCGTCCCGGCTCTTGAGGCGCCTCAAAAGAGGGCTCTTGACAGGGTCGCCAAGCCAACAATGAACGAGACTCGAGCGTTCAGCTGCTTGCTCGGCCCGTCAGCCCGGCAACTCATCAGCCCGCTGGCTCGTCGTGCTTCGAATCAAGCTGGCCCGTTAGCCTTGACCACTGCTCATGCCTTGTGCGTGAGTAAGTGACGTTAGACTGACAAGTTTGTGAACTGAACTAGAATAGGCTGTACAGGTTTCGCACCCAGGTGTTCCAGCCCAGCCTCCTGCAGCTAAGGATACCCCATAGGCTAGCCAAATCAGCCCCGTCTGGTTCTTTGGCTTGGGTAGAGGGGAGTTGGACTCGAGTCGACTCGACATAAGTGTACCGTGCGTGGGCGGCTTCACATAAGATCGGACAGCCTTGACTCTAGTGGAGCCAGTGTGGAGCGGTCGATTCTAGTGATGCGATGTGTTGTGTTGCGTTGCAACTCAGTTGAATCAACCCATTCGCGAGTGGAAGCTGCAATTCCGAGTCGGGAACCCCACTCTCGGCTCAACTTTGCCCGACTCCACTCCAGGCGGGCTTGACTCAACTCGCCTCATCCTCACGTGTGACTCGCCTCATCCCCATGTGTAACCAAGCCCATCCAAACTCACCCACATGTCGTCAGAGTCGCTAAACGGACTGATTCACAATGGTACTCACCAACTATTCTATCCAGCACTTGCTGCAGGCGAAGGCAGTCCCCCAGCAGCACACCGGGCACATCCCCATCCACATGCCACGTCACTGCTCAGGCACCCATACGCACGAGCAATAAGTTGATTTTTGAGTGTAGACTCAAAAGTAGTCCCCCAGCAGCACACCGGGTCCATCACCATCCATATGCTATGTCACTGAATAGGCACCCATACGCACGAGCAGAAATGTCATCTTCTTTGGTTAAAGAGACAAGAGCCAATCGAATGCATGAAGAGAAACGCAAGCAGAAGCAGGTGATCAAGACACGGGTGAGGGAGAGGTGAAGGAGAGGTGATAGAGAGGTGACAGAAAGGTGAGAGAGAGTTGAAGGAGAGGTGACAGAGAGGAGAGTGAGAGGTGACAGAGAGGCGAGAGGGAGCGCTGACGATTTAGGCCTAGCTCCTGAGCAGCGAGCACGTGTGGGTGCAGCACGTCACGCAGCCATGAGCGCAGGTCAAACGGCAGGCTCTCTAGATGCAGGCGTCCTGCCTCTGCCTTGCACACATCCAGCACTGAGTTTACGAGCCTCAGGATCCTCCCTGCTTCCTCCAGCGCTGTCCCCTCGTCCTCCCTCTGCCTCTCGTCCAGCCCTCCCTCGTTTAGCTGCTTCAGCATGCCTGCAGGGTGATTGGGATTGGCACAGCGAGTGGTAAGTTGTAGAGATTCGAATGCGAAGACTTACACGTGGAAAGAAACATGAGCATAGAAGGGCGCTTGTTGCGTTATCAAGTGGAAAGGTTTCAAAATGGCATCGAAGCGTGAGTGGATCCTATTTCACCAAGGGGATGAGTGCCCTTGGAATAGGCAGGCAGGCAGGCATCAAAAGGAAAAAAAACCCTCACAAGAAACTCATGGCCACTCATGGCCACTCAAGATCACTCATGGCCACTCCTGGTCACTCCTGGTCACTCCTGGCCACTCATGGCCACTCTGGCCACTCCTGGCCACTCCTGGCCACTCCTGGTCACTCCTGGCCACTCCTGGTCACTCCTGGTCACTCCTGGTCACTCCTGGTCACTCCTGGCCACTCCTGGTCACTCCTGGCAACTCCTGGCCACTCATGGCCACTCATGCTTCTCAAAGCCACGGACCTTCCATGCCATTGATGGGAGTGCGCATTTCATGGGCCGTGCTGGCGATGAACGCACTCTTGTTGCGCTCCGCTGCCTGCGCCGTCTCCTTTAGTACCTTCTCCGCCTCTATCTTGTCGTGCACCCTCCTCGTGTTGAGCGCCACGCTCACGCCGATACCTGCCAGCAGTGCCCCACCACGAGGATGATGCGCCCCCCAGGAAGTTGGCTGTCACAGGTCCTCTGACATGATTTCCAGTGAGCTGCGGCTATTTTTGAGGCGCCTCAAAACCCCCCCCAGGAATATGGCTGTCACAGGACTTCTGACATGATTTCCAGCGAGGTGCGGGATTTTTAGGAGATAGGTTTAAGCAAGTAGGAAAGGCGTGTAAAGGTAAACACTAGCAAAACCGAGAGTCTGTACCTGCCAGCAGTGCGGCCACCACGAGGATGATGAGCCCCAGGAATATGGCTGTCACGTTGTGGGCTTCGTCTGAGCCCTGGAAGCTGGGATGGGACCCACCCAGGGGAGGTAGAGTAGATTGGAGCGAGAAGGAGACGATGGGTCTGGTGCTGAGTGGACTCAAAAGCTGCCAGCAGTGCCGCCACCACGAGGATGATGAGCCCCAGGAATATGGCTGTCACGTTGTGGGCTTCGTCCGAGCCCTGGAAGCTGGGGGGCAGGGGAGGTGGATTGGGGTTAGAAGGAGACGATGGGATGAGATGGCGGCTGAAGGCACCGGGTGCAGCATGCACAACGATTGGCTTTAAGTCGGCTAGGTTCACTCAACTAGAAGCGAAACAAGGAACCTTTCTCAAATGGGACGGCGGAAAATGGGAAGGGAAAGGATGTGTAGGGTTGGTTGGGTGGGAAGGGGGGTTGTAGAGGAAGAAAAACAGTGCATTCCTAGAAAGAATTCACCAGCGCCAGAGCTGTGCGAGGGAGGACTAGTTTTGAGGCGCCTCAAAAGAAGAGCAGTGCATCCCTAGAAACGATTCACCGGCACGCTTTTGAGTCGACTCAAAAGTGCATCCCTAGAAACAATTCACCGGCACCAGAGCTGTGCGGTGGGGGAGGAGGAATTGCCGTGAGGTGAGAAAGGAAAGAAAGAAGCAAGATTCGCGGAGCAGACAAGCAGACGGTCCGGTCACATAAATCGGCGTTATAGAGTAGGAACGGTTCGGAAACAGGGCGGGCAGCGCCTTGCGTAGAAACTCTTGAGGCGCCTCAAAAAGGAGTAGAAACAAACGACTCACCGGCACCAGAGCTGGTAGGTGCGGGAGGAATCGGTGAGGTTGATCTGGTGCACGGCCTTGTGTCGGTGCGGCTGCAGCATGGTCTCGTTGGACGGCGGAATGAGCTTGGCCACTTGCATGGGGTCGCCTTGCGGCAAGTCGCCCACCCCGTACAGCAGGTACGGGCCCAGTGCGGTGGAGGTGGAGGAGTTGCGGGGGCCGGCCGTGGCTGTTACGTCGTACACTTCGAGGGAATACTCCGCGCCTGCACCGGCGAGAGGGGGATGCTCTGTTTGGTCAGCACAGCGCAGCTAGCGTGTGAGGGGGAGCAGAGCAGCCCGCCGGCACTTTGCATGCCTGCACGTTGCACGCACGTTGTACAGCCCAGGGAGATACTCATTCCTTCAGATGGTGCAAAACTGGAGAATAATGCACAAGAGGAACACAGGGAAGGGGGGGCCTTACGAGCCTCATCAGCGGTGGTGAGCGAGTCGTGCCGAGTCATGGCCTTTGTTGAGTGAGCAACACTAACAGTCAAGTTGCTAAAACAGTACCAATACCTCTCCACAGTACCAATACCTGTCAGCAGTACCAAAAGAGTCAAGCGACTGTCGGTTGGTGTTGGGTCATGACTGTACCCTTCTCTCAACCAGGCGGGAATAGCTTTGTCATGGTCACATGGTGAGATGGTGAGATGGTGAGATGATGAGACGGTGAGATGGTGAGATGGTTGGTGCCGGAGCACTTCAAGAATGATGAAGTAGGCAAGTTGGTTGAAGTCCACCGACGCTGCTATGACACCCACCAACGCTGCTATGACACCCACCAACGCTGCTATGACACCCACCGACGCTGCTATGACACCCACCAACGCTGCTATGACACCCACCAACGCTGCTATGACACCCACAAACGCTGCTATGGCCGTGAGACGGTGAGTGAGTGGTGAGAAGATGAGACGGTGAGATAATTGGTCACACCTTGCCGGAGCACTTCAAGAATGATGAAGTCGGCAAGTTGGTTGAAGTCCACCGACGCTGCTATGACTCCCATGAACGCTGCTCGCCTCTCTCGCTGCGCCGACTCCATCGTCACGTTGCCTTTGAAGACTGGCGTTATCATGGCTGGGGAATGTGAGGAGAGGAGATGCGAGGAGAATGCGAGGAGAATGCGGGGAGAATGCGAAGAGAAAGTGGGTAGACATGAGATAAAAGTGACATTCAAATACAAACAAATGAAACTCAGAGGAGGGGAACGTGGGAGGGGAGGGGGGGGGGAGGAAGGGAGGGGGAAAGATAGAAACAAAGCAAACAACAAGGAAGAGGGAGGGGCGGGAGTGAGGGAGCAAGCGAGCACAAGGGCGAAACACGTGTCTGTCAACATGCTCAGGTCGGGATGAGCCAACGTCTCATACATCCGCCCACGCTCACGCTCACGCTCACCCATGCCTGGATGCCCATTGGAGAGCACATAGGGCGAAGTGAGCATGTTGCCGCCCGTGTCCTTCACGCGGGTCAGCTGCGGCCCGTACGACGGGTGCGTCCTGGCGTCCAAGGGGTGGTGCTTGTCGAACCAGAAGCGCAGGTCCATGTACCAGTCCGCGCGCGGGACAGGCCTGCCCTGCATGTCCACCAGTGGGCACCGCATGCGCCGCTCGAAGGCCTCCCTGCGGGTGATGCCCGGAGAGGCGACACGGGGAGGGGAGGGGATGGGATGGGATGGGATGGGATGGGATGGGATTGGATGGGATGGGATGGGATGGGATGGGATGGGATGGGATGGGATGGGATGGGATGGGATGGGATGGGATGGGATGGGATGGGATGGGATGGGATGGGATGGGATGGGATGGGATGGGATGGGATGGGATGGGATGGAAACATACAGAAGCCCTTAACTCGAATCCCCGCGGCTCTGCGTTGAACCAAGTCCTGCCTGTTTGGAGTGGGGTGGTCCAATGGTCCAATCCAAGTATCGAGTTGGCAAGAGAAGTGAGGGGGGGAGGGGAGGGAGAGCAGCAGTTGAGAGGTGAGGTGAGGGTGGGAAGAAGGTGAAGGAAGTGCGAGGGCGAGGGTAAGGAGCAGTGGCAGGCAGCGGCAGCAGCGGCGGCGGCAGCGGCAGCGGCGGCCTCAGTGGCGGCGGCAGCGGAGGGAGCAGGGGCGGGGGCGCACCTGTCGGAGCCATTGACAAAGGCGGCATAGGCGGTGGCGTGCACCCAGGGGCGGGCGGCCTGTGTGCGCAGCACATAGTCGGCGAAGAGCCTCTGAGTCAAGTTGCTGTGCACCGCCCATGGGTCCTCCTGTAGCCCTCCAAACACCACCGCCAGCCCTTCCAGTGCCTGATGCATGCATGGTGCGGATGGGTGGGTGGGTGCGGTGGATGGGTGGGTTTTGAGTCGACTCGAAAGTCACCCCGGCAGCCCCTCCAGTGCCTGATGCACGCATGGTGCGGATGGGTGGGTGGCGGTGGATGGGTGCATGGGTTGGGTTGGACTCGTGAAGTGGAGTTGGGTGCGTGGGGAGGGGTGGGGGTGCAACGAGACACAGAAGCACAGCACAGGGTGATGGTGGCACAGGGTGATGGTGGCACAGGGTGATGGTGGCACAGGGTGATGGTGGCACAGGGTGATGGTGGCACAGGGTGATGGTGGCACAGGGTGATGGTGGCACAGGGTGATGGTGGCACAGGGTGATGGTGGCACAGGGTGATGGTGGCACAGGGTGATGGTGGCACAGGGTGATGGTGGCACAGGGTGATGGTGGCACAGGGTGATGGTGGCACAGGGTGATGGTGGCACAGGGTGATGGTGGCACAGGGTGATGGTGGCACAGGGTGATGGTGGCACAGGGTGATGGTGGCACAGGGTGATGGTGGCACAGGGTGATGGTGGCACAGGGTGATGGTGGCACAGGGTGATGGTGGCACAGGGTGATGGTGGCACAGGGTGATGGTGGCACAGGGTGATGGTGGCACAGGGTGATGGTGGCACAGGGTGATGGTGGCACAGGGTGATGGTGGCACAGGGTGATGGTGGCACAGGGTGATGGTGGCACAGGGTGATGGTGGCACAGGGTGATGGTGGCACAGGGTGATGGTGGCACAGGGTGATGGTGGCACAGGGTGATGGTGGCACAGGGTGATGGTGGCACAGGGTGATGGTGGCACAGGGTGATGGTGGCACAGGGTGATGGTGGCACAGGGTGATGGTGGCACAGGGTGATGGTGGCACAGGGTGATGGTGGCACAGGGTGATGGTGGCACAGGGTGATGGTGGCACAGGGTGATGGTGGCACAGGGTGATGGCGGCACAGGGGATGCAGCAAGTGCAGAAAGCAGAAGCGCATGGAATTGCAGATGTCCTCGCAGCAGCCCCTGCCCGGGTGGGGCCTTGTGTCCGTTACGTTCCCCCACCACACTGGCCAGCCCCCCCGTGGCGCCTCATGCCCTCGCATAGTAATGCATGAGAGGGGCCATGGGGAGGTGCATGGGGGAACGCACGGGGGAACACACGGGGGAGAGCAAGGGGGAGCGCATGGGGGAGCGCATGGGGGAGCGCATAGGGGAACACATGGGGGAACGCATGGGGGAACACATGGGGGAACGCATAGGGGAACACATGGGGGAACGCATAGGAGAACACATGGGGGAACGCATGGGGGAACACATGGGGGAACGCATAGGGGAACACATGGGGGAACGCATAGGGGAACACATGGGGGAACGCATAGGGGAACACATGGGGGAACGCATAGGGGAACACATGGGGGAACGCATAGGGGAACACATGGGGGAACGCACGGGAGAGCGCATGGGGGACGCCATGGGGGGCGCATGGAGGGGCACATGGGGGGGGTGCATTGGGGGTCGAATGAGGGGCACGTGGGGGGATCATTGAGCGGCACATGGGGGGTCACGCAAGGGACAAGCAAGCTTAGCACTGCTGGCGACACGTGTGGCTGGCTCACGTGCTGTAGCCAGTAGGAGTGGGAAAAAAAAACTACAAAAACCATTTTCCTCCCACCCCCCTTTTGCGATTGAGAACTTCACGCAAATTGGAAACGTCAGCCCCCGGTCTTGATATTACAATCCTAAACAAAACCTACACACATTTCATCCACTGTTCTACCCTCCCCCCCCCACACCCCGTCTCCCCTTTCCCCTGTCCCCGGGTTTAGCGTCAAACCACCATAACCTGGTTTGCGGAATAATCGCGAAGCAATGTGACGCTTGTGCCAAAGACTCTTGAGCCGTGCCGTCCAATTGGAGGGAAGGGAAAGAGAGGTAAGGACGCAGGTGGTACTGGGCAAGTTTGCCATGTGTGGCTGCGGCAGCGGTCAGCAGTGCAGCAGTGCAGCAGTGCAGCATTGCAGCAGTGCAGCAGTGCAGCAGTGGCAGTGCAGCAGTGCAGCAGTGCAGCAGTGCAGCAGTGCAGCAGTGCAGCATTGCAGCAGTTCAGCAGTGCAGCAGTGCAGCAGTGCAGCAGTGCAGCAGTCCCGCAGTGCAGCATTGCAGCAGTGCAGCAGTGCAGCAGTGCAGCATTGCAGCAGTGCAGCAGTGCAGCAGTGCAGCAGTGCAGCAGTGCAGCAGTCCCGCAGTGCAGCAGTGCAGCAGTGCAGCAGTGCAGCTGGGCTGTGAGCTCAGCTGGGCCCGGCAGCGGCTCTACTCTACTAGTAGTACTTGCTCCTGCGCCACCTGCGGCCTGCTAATACAGCTCGGATCGGCGCGCCTTTGAACGCGACTCCGTTCAGAGTTCGCATCGACGGTGGTGCGCGAGTTGCTGCGTGAATTGAATCCTGGTGATGTCCTCCTGTCCCGCACAGTGTTCGCCAACAATTCGACGAGTGAGGATTCGATAAGTGGGGGGCGCGACGCGAGGACGCGCAGCGCCGGCGCTGCCATGCCAGGCCATTGGCCCACCGGGCGCTGGCAGAGGAGCGACGCTAACGTATCGAAGACCAACTGCGTCCAAAGCTCCCTACTAGTGCGGGCTGCCGCGTAAATGGAGATCATTTGTTCAAACGCTGCTACATAGCAGGGTGATTATGGTTTTTTTTCGTTCTCGTCATCTTTCGTAGCGACCCACAAACCGAAATTCTCATAGAAACAAATGCCAGGTTCCCTGGCTTGGTTCGAAAGGGGAGGAAGCGCATCGGCCTTGAGAGGAATAAACGATGGAAGACGATGGGAATGTTGACAGCGTGAGAGGAATTGAGGTAACGAGGAAGCCAACGCCTCCGGGCGCGCGAACATCAACCTGTCCGTCGCCGACGTGTGTGCGATGCTACTGTGCGATGCTACTGTGCGATGCGATGAAACGAAACCGCGCGATGCGACGGCGATACTATCGTTACCTGCACGTGGTCGGCCGCGGTCATGAACTGGTCGCACACGGCACATCACACACCACATCTCGCTTAGGACTCCTGAACGTGCTCCGCGTAACCATCGCAACTTTGCGGGTGTTGGAGGGAAGATTGCTGGCAGACAATTCGGCGACATCGGGTTCCCGCAATTTGCCAACAGTGTTTTTTTCTAACTGCCCACCGACTTCGAGTTGATTCTGATCGCGCGCAGTTACCGAAATCGTGGTTGGAGTTGTCACCAAAATGTTTTCGGGAAAACAACCAGAAACACAGGCATTCAAGTGCTCGGTGAAGCGTGGTTCGACGGGTTTCCGACATATTTTCATACCCGGCAAAAACTTTTAACGTTTTGTCCAGGACCAAGTGGGTCTTAACATAATGTACACTACATAATGAGTTGTATGAAACATTTAATTTATCAAGCCTGCACGTTGTTGCATACCGTTACATTGTTGGCAAAATCAATATTAAAGATATTATGTTATTGTTTTGAGTATTTTTTATATTGGTAACAAATTATTGGCTTATGAATGGTTGTTTTAATAAACAGCTGTTTTACTATTTTAAACATGTTACTATATTTTACTGTAGGCATCTCTCTTAACCGTGCAGTATCACGATTTCCCAACAAGCTAACTCACGATTTCCTGAATTGCTTTGCTGTGTCAGCAAAGATTTACAAGATGGTAGAACAGCATACATTTTACCAATCACCACTCTTGCTCGAGTGGACTCAGCTCGATGAGTGCTGATGTGTGTGCTTCGGAGCGGCACCCAATCGCTGAAATTGAGCATCGAGCCAATGGATGAGGGTGTGCGCTGTACTAGCATCCAGCCTGGCTTCGCCACATCCCCCCCACAATTTCCAGCATCCAGCCTGGCATGGCCCGGAAAATCTGATTTGCTGCCGTTTTTCCCCGGACTGTACATTCCCTTCTCAAACTGCAAATGCTGCCTTGTCGCGAGCTGTTGTTTCTGCCCACGGTCAACCAAGGCAACATTCGTATGTCAATTTTTGGTTTTCATACAACATTAATTTGTCCGTAATTGCACGCCAGTTCTGTCCGGGCAGCACCTTGTTTAACCAGTGTTTTTTTACGGGAAACCAGTTTCCCAACTGTCAAGCTCCTCCTCACCACACATCTTGGCAAGGTCGAACTGAGCAGAGAACGAGCAGGGCCAACAATACAATACGACTCATTTGAACTCGTGTTCTACTTGTGTTAGTGCCTCATTTCAACAGAGGAGTTTTAGTTTCCTTGGTAGTTTTTCAACTCATTCGCCATGTTTCCCACACCCCCTTCGCGACGGACAATCGCAACCTCGTGTTGAGCATGATGCCGCCTTGACTGCTGGTGAGGTTTTTATGTGCTAGTCCGTACATGTGCTCTTTCTCTGTGTTTGTATCTTTTTCGCTTTGTTAAACTTTCTAGAAGTTTTAACGTGTCCTTCATTAATGGCTATGCTTATTATCTCACTGACGCTGTCTAATTCTTGCCGTATGTCATTTTTTCAGATCCTCGCCGTCAAGTATTTCATAATGAAGCGAAAGCTGCTATCTGTCACTGCGAGGTGCTGGGGAGAAGAGTAGTGTGGCTTGCTTCGATAAGAATCAACTGAGGCTTGCTTGAAGACGGTAAAGTCGCCTGCAGCGCCTATGCGTGGTCCATCGTTTGAGGTGAGTTTCGACGTGTTTTATTGTTCTTGTTCCCAGACCTATTTAACAATGTGGTTGTTTTATGCAGCGGATATATGGACCATGGTATATTGATTACGGCAAGTGTTTCATCGTACTAATTACGGTAAGTAGATGTTATGCGTTTTTTGTCTTATCTTTAGTTTAACAGTTGATGGTCTTTGTCGTCTGTAATTTCAGATAGGCCAAAGTCGACATCGTGTTAAACCTTTTGCGCTCTTGTTTGTACATTGCTGTATGAATATGTTTATTAATGAAAATTTGTAAAATTGCCCTGTAACATCCGCTTCAAGATTTTGTTGTAGCGGGTGATTATTACTGTAATCACGGTTCTGATTATTTAATGCTGTATCCGGTGGTGTATTTATCTCAATTAAAGGCGATAACGAACTATCAATTTCGTTAAAGGAATAAATAAACTAGCTATAACTTTTTGATTTATAACGCATTCCAAATATATTGGGTAACACAAATGGTTACACCTGGTAACAAAGCAACTGATCAAGCCTCGCATGTGCGATATCCTCTTTTCGGCTCCGATGGTAACAAAATCGAACCACTCGTGCCAAGTGACATGCGATGCGTTGGTAATACAGTGCAGTCGGCCCGCAGGTTGGTTTCGACAATTTCCAGGTTGACTGCAGGGTGGTTCTGTTGCCCCGCAATTACCCCCCCGCATTGATTCGCGACTGACAGGACTCCCGAAATCGGGAGTTACCGGGAAGGCTTCCAGCTAATTGCTGGAAGCCACAGTTCTTCATGCGATGACTGCACGTGGTGGGCCGTGTACCTGCACGTGGTGGGCAGTGTACCTGCACGTGGTCGGCCGTCAGCATGAACTGCTGCTGCAGCGAGCGCGCGCGACCGGCGCACCAGGTGTCGAGCTCCGCCTTGCGATTGTCGTCGAAGCCCTTCTGCACCCTCCACGCCACCAGCCCCGCCAGCACGCCCGCGCACCCCATCCACACCGCCACCGCCGCCGTCATTCGCGCTATCATCCTACGGTCTAACACCATCTCCAGATCGTCAGTTGCTTGGCTATTCTGGTGCTTCTGTTTCTCTGCTTCAGGCAAATACAGAGCTAGCGAATCGGAGAGACTGCTCCTCATGCAACACTCAACAATTGATTTCGCTGTACTGTACCCTCCAGAGTCCCGGTTTCGGTGGTTTTAGCGCAACAGGATGAATGCCAAATGCTGACGTCGTCAATTTGCTCATCCAACTCAAAAAACGAGAGAATTACTGTAGAACCTGGATCGGCGATTCATTCTTACTCGCGTGGTCTTGAATTACTCGAGTGGCCACCGAACTTGGTGATAATTACTCGAGTGGCCACGCCAGGGGATTCCCGCTGGAATTTTTTTACCCGGCTCATTAGCCTAGAAGGGTTTGTATCCCCGAAACCTCTGTACTGATTAATGCGCGATCTTCAATATCCAAAATTTAGGATCGCGACCACATATGACCGCGCCTGATTGGACGCGCATTACAAAACAAAGCACCTCACATATAATCGACCAATCATGCGCGGTCATTTAATGTCCCGCGCATTGACGCCCGGGCATTGTAGTTTATGATCACGGAAATACATGATCGAGCATTAATATATGATGTGCCCGACCATCAATGACCGCGCATGATTGGTTGACTATATGCGCGTCCAATCAGGCGCGGTCATATAGAGTCACGAACATAAATTTCGAATACAAATCATCACGCGAAAACATCCATTATACATCATCGCGTAAATTGAAAATCACGCAATTATCAATACAGAGGTTTCAGGAATACGAACCCTTGTAGGGTAATGCGCCGGGAAAAAAATCCAGCGGAAATCCCCTGGCCTGGCCACTCGAGTAATTATCACCAAATCTGGTGGCCACTCGAGTAATTCGAGGCCACGCGAGTGAGAATGAATCACCGATCCAGGCTCTACAGTAATTCTCTCTCAAAAACCTCATCCCTCGTGCGTTTGAACACGGGCAAGGTCCATCCTATCGCTCAACTTATCGCGCTGTCGCAGGGGTGTTTGGGGTGGGGCACGCGAAAAATCACGTATGGTCCCATTTTGGCAAATCGCGCGCATCGGCGAAAATCGTGTTTGTCTCAATTGAATCGACCTAAATTGCTCCCCGCTCGCCACGTGGGCGTTTTTCTAAATTGGATGGACCTCCCTTCCCCCCGCCACCCCAGCCCCCTTTTCCCGCCCTTTCCCCACCGTCATTCGGGCAGCCGCATGCTCTCGCGTGAACTTCGGAATTGCCACAAGCAGTCACGAAAAGCAACCAACCAACCCCATGCCACGTGTAATTGAACGTGCAGGAAGCCACATCATTTGTCCCAGCAAAATTTCGGAATTTTCTGGGCCATGTATTATAACTCGAGAGGCTTATATACAGGTTGATTGTACTGTGTCCTTCGGGATCTGGCCATGTCATTTCCGGCCTTCACGGTTTCATGATCGAAGCATTCGTGATCCTCAACGGTTCATGAACCCTTCCGTTAGCATCATGTTCCTGTGAAGCTTAGGCGAGTCTCCCGTTTTACAATACCGGGTAGACACTCAACGCAGTCATTACTTTAGGCAACTCATATCCGGGCCCGCATTAGTACTCCACTCAATAGTCATAGCTTATCTCTGACAAAACTGGTCACCATGTAGCGTCTAACGCGTGCGTATGGCCTCTAATCCCTTAGCGCAGGCCTTGCGACAGCTTAATGCGGCTCCCGAGTTCAACCCTAGGTACGACAGGCCTAATGATTACACGCCATTGGAGCTGGGGGGCCTGTACTCTAGCCGTGATAAATGCAAGGAGGCCGTTTATGCGTACGCTCTAGAGCATCGGTTTGGTGTAAAAGTCCTTTTAGTGAAGCATAACTACGCAGTGGTTGGATGCAAGGCTTCATCGGACGGATGGTTACCCGCGTGCCTATGGAGCTGCACATATGGGCAAATCGGCCACGGTGGTTTATGGCGTATTACGCGACTCGTTCCTCCGGAGATGCATACGTGTCCGTTGCATTGGAGGCAGGGTTACGCCGAGGGGTTAGCCAACACTATTCCCATCTTCGTTCGGCGATACGGCAATTTGGTCCGCACAAATCCATTCATCTCACCCGTGGAGCTCAAAAGAATGCTCGAGGGTCATGGAAGGGTAGTGATCCACTACTGGCAGGCTTGGCGGCTTCGAGAGTACATCTTAAAGGAGCGATATGGAGATCGGAAGGAGTCCTTTCGCCAGGTTCGGTGGCTTCTCACTCGTTTCACAGTCATCGATCCGGAAGTTCAAGTGCGGTTGGACACATTAGATCGGTGTTTCCACCGATTCTACGTGCGTCCCTCTGCAGCACGGCATGCGTTAAATTATTGCCGCCCGGTTGTTGCGCTCGACGGTACACATCTCATTAGTGCGCAGAAGGCTGTGCTGCTCATCGCCGTCACCATTGACGGGAACCAGGAGATTTTGTTACTTGCATGGGCCTTGGTGGAGTCGGAGAACAAGGACGCGTGGACCTGGTTTATGAAGCTGTTCCTTGAGGGGTTCCCAGAGTGGGCGCGTAAGGACGTTGCCTCCATCATCAGCGATCGCGATAAGGGGTTGGTGCCGGCAGCAAGGGAGGTGATGCCAAGCCACATCCCCCATTATTTCTGTGCCTGGCATCTGGAGCAGAACCTTAAGCGGTTCGGCAAAGCGGCAACAGCGTTCTTCTGGCGCTTGGTGAAGTGTCGGTGTGAAACGAAATGGGTTGCGCTTGTCGGGGCCGCACGACGAGATTTTCCTGACATGGCCGCATTTCTGTTCGGGCCTGTCCGGCAGCAGCCACAGCCACAACCCCAGCCGGCTCCTCAGGTCCCCCCTCATGGAGCCCGGGCAACATTTGAGGGGGCCAGGGATTTCGTGTTCGCGGATGCTCGCGAAGGGAGGAGGGCACAGCGAGGGCAGGAGCGTGGTGGCAACGCGGGAAATGGTGGCGTCGACACCGCGTCCCAACCCGAAGGGAGTGGGTTCCCGGAGGGCAACACGTCCGCGTACAACAGGCGTGGCGGCGGTCTGGCTGGCAGGGGGGGGATGAACGCACCTGGAAGACGGGCCACAGCGCACGAGGGTATTGGAGTCCCATCAGGGATACCAGACGAAGGGGATGGCGGAGCGGCTGCTTTTGGCATCGGCCGTGGAGGGCGAGGACGAGCTTCATCTGGACGTGGTCGCAGAGGGAGAGGCGGTGGCGTTGCAGGGGCGGGCCTTGGCAGGGGAGGTAGAGGAGTGCCCCCCGCGGGCGATTGCGGAGGGCAGGGGGGTGTCGGATCAGACTTCACGGGGGTTGGTGGTGGAGTACGGGGAGTGCCGCTCGGTGGGGCCGCCGGGGAGCAGGGGGATGCCGGCGCGGGATGGTCCGGCATTGCAGGTGGAGGGAGGGGAGTCCCGCTTGGTGGGGCTCCTGGAGGGCAGGGGGGTGCAGGAGCAGGATGGTCCGGCATTGGAGGTGGAGGGAGGGGAGTCCCGCTTGGTGGGACTCCTGGAGGGCAGATGGGTGCCGGAGCAGGATGGTCCGGCATTGGAGGTGGAGGGAGGGGAGTCCCGCTTGGTGGGGCTCCTGGAGGGCAGGGGGGTGCCGGAGCAGGATGGTCCGGCATTGGAGGTGGAGGGAGGGGAGTCCCGCTTGGTGGGCCTCCTGGAGGGCAGATGGGGGCCGGAGCAGGATGGTCAGGCATTGGAGGTGGAGGGAGAGGAGTCCCGCTTGGTGATGCTTCTGGAGGGCGAGGACGCGCCGGAGCAAGATGGTCAGGCATCGGGAGTGCGGATGGGGGGGAGCCGTTGTTCGGCCCTGGAGCAAGAGATAGTGTATATGCTGCGAGCGGTGAATTGGTGGGGTCTTGGTCCAGTCCTCAGACTGCAGGACCCAGGCGACACCAAAGCGGGCCACGCGGTGATGTTACGTTTGGGGTTGGCCTGGGCGCGAATTTCATGGGTGGGGTGGGGTCCGTTGGAAGGGGGGGCTCACCAGTGCCCTCTGGGGACGACGTGCAGCGAGCTCCAGCATCTGTGAGTGATAATGGTTTGGCATCATGCTCCACGGGTGATGGGATAGGCGCTCTCACCACTGTGGGGAACCCGGGTGCACGAGCATTTGACGTCAACACGGTCCTGCGACGTGCCCGGGAGTGGTACCGGGCAGAGGACATTGACACGGGGAGGACCACGGGCACTCAGGGATCAGAGATGGGTGGGTTTACTGAGCACTTCCACCCAGCATCGGCTCTGGCTCTGCCATGGCCAGACTGCGGGCAGCGGGGGAACATTCCTGCGCAAGGGCCGGACGAGCCAGCATGTGAGGATGATCCGGTGCCAGTGGATGCTAGGGAGGATGGGGATGAGGCGGCCGATGGTGAGGGAGAACCCGGAATACATGTGCGCACCGGGTTCTATCGTAACAGGCGCGGATCATCTTATCGCATTGGGGGAATCATGCTGCTGCACTGGGCCCGTCTTTTTGCGGTGACACTGCGTTTTGGCATCTACACAAGCAACGCCGCCGAGTCCATCAACAGCGCTGTCCGCGGCATCCGCATGCTGCCACCAACATGGCTCCTGGCATCCCTTTGGGATTGGTCTCGCGACAACTGGTACGAGAGGAAGGAGAAGGCGCGCTGCAGGGATGAGTATCTCACGGCTGCCGCATCGAAACGTCTGGACCAAAAGAAGCAGAGGTGCCAGGGGTATTGGTTCATCGGTGGGGACAACACTGTGGGAACCATCCAGACCAGGGGGGGGGAAAACGAGTTCCAGTGGCGGAGCTTCAACGTGAACCTCGATGCCCGGACGTGCGAGTGCGGGAACTGGGAGGAGTACCAGTTCCCTTGTGCCCACGCCGTGGCAATGTGCATTCTGAAGCAGCGGAGTGTGGAGATCCTTGTGTCTGAGTACTACACCACTCGCAATCTTCGCCAGACATACAACCGGGATGTGATGGGTACCTGTGTGGACCGGCTGATTATGGAGGCTCCACTGGCAGAAGTGGGCGAGTGCGATGCACCAGCGCTGATTGAGACGAGGGTTGGGAGGCCAGAGAATCACACCCGGTTTGAGGCACCGCCGCACGCTTATCGGTGTGGGCGATGCCGACAGTATGGGCACAACCGCAAAAGGTGCAAGTACAAGTACGGTGGGTACGGTCAGGCGCAGGCTGCGGTGGGGGAGGAGGTGGAGGAGGAGGAGGAGGAGGAGGAGGAGGAGGAGGAGGAGGAGGAGGAGGAGGAGGAGGAGGAGGAGGAGGAGGAGGGGGAGGATGGAACTGCTACAGGAGAGCATGGAGGGGGGCACCAAGCTGCCCCTGAATGAATGGCGAGTAAAACTGGCTTTCCCATGCGAGTATTGGGCCTTGTTTTGTGTCCTTGGATCCCTCCCGAAGCATACTTTTCAGTGACGAGAGTACTGAATGATTTAATTCACGAAACATAATTGTTCATTTGAGTGGTGCTGGTGTGCAATACTTATTCAAGAACACCCAAACAAATCAGGCCAGGAAGATAGGCGATTCACGTGTGTAAAGTGTGCACTTGACTCCGTCTGCTTTCTCCATCACCTGTGCATATAGCGTCATGATTGACCCTTGTACATGCATGATTCGAGGGCCTGGAAATCGCGGGGCGATGCCGCGCAGCTGTTCATGACGAATCATGTACTCTCCATAGTGCGTGAACGCATCTCGACCTGTCATGATTCGAACAGCTAACAAGCGCGGGGCCTGGAAGTCGCGCGTGAATGCCTACACGATGAATCATGAACAAACTCGTGGGAGTGGCTCGGAAGTTGACTACCTGCACGGACGAACATGAACTGTCATGGACGTGATGCCTGCCACATGATTCGTCGTCGGGGTTGACCCTAATTTGCGCGAAGGAACATGAACCGAGAATGGCCCCTTTATTGCGTGTCATTCGATGTGCGTATTCGTTGTGCCGATGTTGTGAAAAATTATACACCCTCATTCTCTAATAAAATATGGCGTGCACAATGCCACCGCTATAATTAAAACTCCAAACATTGACTACATGTTAACACGCAACTGTGGCGCCCAGCAAAACACCATAGCAACAAAACTGATCCCACAGCAGCCACGATACTTACAGCACGCACCCCATAACTCTGGTAAAAAAACACCACTACGTTACATGGAGCATGAGATTTGCTACTATTGTCATTGTTCATAATTTCCTCAGGATCACCTCACTAAGGTAGACACTGGCGTACCACTGACCAGGAGATGATGCTAGTCCAAAGCACACCACTGACCATGATGTGCTGAGCCCTTGAGCTCAAGGGCTGAATGAAAACTCTGATTAAGGCTACCAATCGCACACCACAGACCCCGAGGCGGGGTACTATGCGTACTCGGGACAACAAGTGAAAAGATAGTGTTTTATGAAAAATCTGTTGTACCATGCTACTCTCTTTATGCAAGTGTCTTGCGCCGGGGTTGTGGAACACGGCATTATCAATTCTGTGAGACCTTAGATACCGTTTATGGCCCCTAAACCCGTGTTCATGGCCGTTGTCACTGTTTGAGTTGTTTCCTCTGCATTTCTACAACCGAAATAAAAAGTGTTGCAGACGCCGTTATAAAAAGCCACGATTTGTCACTGGTACCCGATCGTTATAGCTTCTCGGGTCGCGCAGTAGGGGGGTGATAATTCGTGGCGGTGTGGCGTGCGGAACCACCACGCGTCATGAAAAATCCCGCATGACTATCGACGAGTTCATGATGGTCTGTGCTGTCATGATCGTAGGCCGTACTCCCATGTCACCACACATTGGGCCGGCTGGTGAGCTGGTGCGCTATCGTTTGGGTTTGTTGCCGCCAGGTTGGGGTCTTTAGTGAACTCAAAAACAAGGCTGACAGCCAACACTTCAACATACTGTTAATACTACAGTCCTACAAACCCCGCAAAGAGCAACAAAGGCCATAGAGCGAAAAACAGCATAGTGTTCATGAAAATCAGCTCCAAGCAAAAGAGATTACACGACGATATGCCGCATTGGATCATCGTCACACATTCGTCAGCTGTTGGGCTCTGACACACTGAAGACGACAACAGCAGGTTAATGTCTAAACCCTGGCTAGTGCGCACCCTGATGCATAACAACACCCCGATGCAACTAATCAATACCTGGCGGGTGGGTTGTCGCGTTGTTGCCCACATCCCCCTCGTCGCTCTCTGGCAACGACAGCGAGGCAAACGCCACCACATCAGCCTGCACAGGGGGGTTGGTCAATGTGGCTTGCGTAGAATGGGCTGGTGGGGCGGGAGTAACCCCCGCAGGCACACGAGTTGTTCCGACGTGCACAGCAGTAGCTCCACCGGGAGGGGTGGGCTGTGCAGGTGCAAGAGCCACGGCAGGAGGGGCGATGCCTGCATTCGCCGGGGCAAGTGTGGTTGGAGCAGCTGCGGGTGCGGTTGGCGCTGCTGCCACGACAGCGGGGGTGCAGGGGCGGGGTTGGCACCACCGAGGGAAGCAAGCTCGACGCGCCACCTTTCCCACCGCCCCCAGACGCGTGCGGTAGTGAGCTGCCGCACGATGTTGGCCGTGCAGCCATCCAGCAGGTCCATCTCCTCGCCGGTGAGCTGCCACACACGACCCCGGGGTGGCTTGCTCCGCCTGATCACGGCTGCAGCTGCAGCGAACGCGCGGGCCGCTTGCTGCTGGTCTTGGAAGTTGCCAAGAATCAGCGTCCTTGATGACCCGGGCTCAGGGACAATCTTCGCTTGCCAAGTTCCGTCTGGGAGGAGCCTAACACCCGCGTACTCCCCCGATCCACCCACTCCCCCGACAGAGTGTGATGGCGGTGGCGGCGGGCCCATACACCCAGAGTGATCCTCCGAAGGGGCAGGCAGAGCTCCACCGCGCGCACCGCGACGAGACGAGGTCAATGCATCGCCGGTCGTACCGTGCAGCAGACCGTTGATAACGCCGTGGGCCGCTTGAATCTGATGAGAATCCCCTTGCTGCTCGAGTTGCGCAGTCGGCGCCAGGGTTTGCTGGGTGGCAGGGTCGTCGGTTCTCGCGCTGGGTCCGCCCGCTCCTCCAATACGCCCCTGCTGCGGCGGTGCTGGGAAGGCTGCAACTTGCGCAGACAATGCGGTGAGCTCGTCGCGGGTGGTGGACAAGTCGTTGGTGAGACTCTCCACCAGGAGCTCGAGCTTGGTGATGTCTTTCTTGTCAGAACATATTTATAGCTTATACTGCTGTGTAGGCTGTAGTGGGGTATCCCATAGGGGGTACAACCCAGTTAGGGTTTCACATTTGTACTGCTTTCATTCATAGTTCACCTCATTCCTGCTTACTCATTTACACATGGTATCAGAGCTAGGTCCCTCCAGGACCAATTTTTTTTTTTTTTTTTTTTTTTTTTTTTTTTTTTTTTTTTTTTTTTTTTTTTTTTTTTTTTTTTAAGCAGTAGAGGGTCCACCGCCTGTCCAGTCGCAGTCCCTACTGGAGCCTTCCTCTCCACTGCCTGCTCCCTCTCCTTACACTGGTCCTACTGGAGGTCTTGCTGAGCGTCGTGAGCCTGCGTCTCGCCCCGCGTCGCCTGTTCGTGCTGCTCGCGCTAGTGGTCGCGGTTCGCGTCAGCGTCCTCCTCCTGTCCCTGGCACGCACCGGATGTCTCTGCGTCCGTCCACTGCTCCTCTGCGTGCCCCTTTGCCTTCTCCTCCTGAGTCCTCTCTTCCTGCGCTTGCCGACCCTGAGTCGGACTCTCTTCGCGCTGCGAGTCCTACTGTCACGCGTCTGCTTGCTACTGTCGTCACTGACCCCTCTTTTGAGTCCACTGCTGCGTCTGCTCTAGTCGCTGAGCTCGTCGACTTTGCTGCTCGCTGTCGTCTCGACTACGCTGCTAGTCTTGTTGCTGAGTCTGCGTCTGTCTGTCCTCCGTCCGTCGGGGGTGAGTGTGCTCTTGGCACGGACGTCCTAGAGGACAGGCAGGAGGAGTTACAGTGTCTAGCGGCTGCTTCACCTCATCTCGCGTCTGTACTGCTTGCCCCTGAGGGAGACCCGGATGCACTAGACATCCCGACTCCGCGTTCTTACGCGGAGGCCGTAGAGGGCCCCTACTCCTCTCAGTGGCAGGCAGCCATGGATGCAGAGATGGCTTCCTGGAAGTCCACAGGCACCTACGTTGACGCAGTTCCCCCTCCTGGGGCGAACATCGTCAGTGGCATGTGGATCTTCAGGGTGAAGCGGCCGCCGGGCTCTCCACCTGTCTTCAATGCACGGTACGTTGCTCGTGGCTTCAGTCAGCGGCAGGGAGTTGACTACTTTCAGACCTTCTCTCCCACCCCGAAGATGACTACTCTTCGGGTGCTGCTGCACATAGCCGCTCAGCGCGACTACGAGCTTCACTCTCTCGACTTCAGCACTGCGTTCTTGCAGGGTAGCCTGCACGAGGAGATCTGGCTTCGCCGTCCACCTGGCTTCACTGGGACTTTCCCTCCTGGCACCCAGTGGAGCCTCAGACGGCCAGTCTACGGTCTCCGCCAGGCACCGCGTGAGTGGCACGACACACTGAGGACTACGCTTGCGGCTCTTGGGTTTGCTCCTTCTACTGCTGACCCGTCGCTGTTTCTTCGCACCGACACTTCCCTGCCGCCGTTCTACATCCTCGTGTACGTCGACGACTTGGTCTTTGCCACAGCAGACACTGCTGGACTCGCCTACGTGAAGTCCGAGCTGCTGAAGAGACACACGTGCACAGACCTGGGTGAACTGCGCAGCTACCTTGGCTTGCAGATCACTCGGGACAGAGCACGCCGCACCATTACCTTGACTCAGTCACACATGGTGCAGCAGGTCCTTCAGCGCTTCGGCTTCACGTACTCCTCGCCTCAGGCCACTCCTCTGCCTACTCGCCACTCACTCTCAGCTCTGCCTTCGGATGAGTCCGTAGAGTCGAGTGGTCCGTATGCAGAGCTTGTTGGCTGCCTCATGTACCTGATGACCTGCACACGACCTGACCTTGCATACCCTCTGAGCATTCTTGCACGCTATGTTGCTCCTGGGAGACACAGACCGGAGCACATGGCTGCAGCGAAGAGGGTATTGCGCTACCTGTGCAGTACGTCAGGCATGGGGCTAGTGCTTGGAGGGCGGAGTCCAGTGGTCCTTACCGGCCACGCGGACGCTTCTTGGGCTGACGACCAGGCTACGCAGCGGTCGTCACAGGGTTACACCTTCAGCCTTGGTTCCGGCTCTGTCTCGTGGCGGTCTACTCGCTCGTCTTCGGTTCTCGGCTCCAGTTGTGAGGCTGAGATCTACGCCGGAGCCATGGCTGCACAGGAGCTTCGCTGGCTCACCTACCTGCTGACTGACCTTGGAGAGCCGCCTCGTTCTCCTCCAGTGCTGTACGTAGACAACAAGGCTATGCTGGCCTTGTGTCGAGAGCAGCGCTTGGAGCACAGAACGAAGCACATTGCTCTCCGCTACTTCCTTGCTCGTGAGTTGCAGCAGCGTGGTCAGTTGCGACTTGCGTACGTGGCCTCTGAGGCCAACACTGCTGATGTGTTCACCAAGGCACTTGCGCCTTGTGACCATCAGCGCTTCTGCACCCAGCTGGGTCTTGTGCCTGTCTTGCCTCACTTGCTCTCCTCTTGACTTTACTTGTACTGTGACATATATATATACCTGCTCTTGTTTGTCTAGTTTTATATATATATGTCTGTACTCTTGCTTGTGAACTGGCCTTTGGCCTTGCTCTTGTGCTCGGACTGTGTGGTGACTTTGTGATCCACCCTGAGCTTTGCTTTGTCTTGCTTGACTAGTCTTGTGACCCCTTGTTCTCCCCCACTTTGCCTATGGGGGTGTGTCAGAACATATCTATAGCTTATACTGCTGTGTAGGCTGTAGTGGGGTATCCCATAGGGGGTACAACCCAGTTAGGGTTTCACATTTGTACTGCTTTCATTCATAGTTCACCTCATTCCTGCTTACTCATTTACACATTTCTCACAGTACCCCACGCGGCAGGTGATGTTGTGGATGTCGCCGACAGCATCACGCAGCTTCGCGTCGATTTCGGCCAGCTCCGGAGACACTGGCTTGTTCACGCGCTTGCTGAGCGGCGGATCTTGGTGGGGCACCATAACTCCAGACCTCTCCAGGGTTGGGATCAACCGCTTGAGTGCATGTTAGACTATGTCCCCACGCATCCCCCTCCGGAAAAGGCCACCACCATAGGGCAAGGCTGGCAGCCCATCGTCCAGATTAGCGAAGCCACGGGCAACCAGCTCAGATGCGTAGATGCAAACGTAGACACCACAGTCTACTTGGTTGGCCTGCATCGGGCACTGATAGTACTGCACACGCGAAAACAAACAAGGTGAGCAACATTGATTGACGTTCCATGGATGAGGTCTGTTAAAAAAAAGCTGCGCGAAAGATTTGAGTGCTTACCCCAAGCGGGACGCAAGGCATCGGATCAAGCCGCTGCTTGATTTCGGTGGCAGAGAGGCCGGGCTCCTCGGCTTGTAGCGCCAGACCGAGCAGCCTGGACACAGCAACGATGCATGCATTAGTGCATTACAAGCGGCGAAGCAACCATGCGATCATAAGCACGACGAAACTTAGGAGGCGATGCATGCCCGTGCAACTTACGTTTGGATCTCGGCGAACACCGACGGAGCCATGTTCCGATGATCACCAGTCGAGTCGAACAGGTAGGCCACCGGAAGCTCCGTGTTCCCCGATTTTATAGCAGTTGTTCTTGCCCTGCCATGCTCCTTGACAACAACAAGGCTGAAATGCCTTGGCTCACTGCCACAATACCAACGTAAATGTAAGTACACAGCATGGCGATGCCGCGGTACGCGCGTACATCGAGATTGTGCATGCATGTCTTACAGTGTAGTAACAACTACAAGGACGTAGTTGTAGTCAAGGATGGAGCCGCCCTCGTAGCCAGTGAAGAGAACCTGTTGATTCGCCGCCATCAGATACGCTCCAGTGTCAAGCGCAACCCATGTCTCCCCGCTTGGTGTTTTGGAATGCCTGATGCTCAGCAAACTGCGCGGGGTGAATACACAGACACGGAGAGCCGGTGTTAGGTGTCGGCAGTATAGTGTGAGTGTGCTTACCCCGCGGGAACAACGCACTCACATGTTGTGGAAGTCGATTAACGCCGTGCTGAGCTCGTATCCATCCTGAATGCGCATCGCGTCGAGAGGGCTCACGAAGGCGTTTTGGCCGAGGGCGTTGTACAACGGCTTCGTTGGGAAGTGCTGACTCTTGATGGTAGGGCCGCGACAGCCTTTAGTTTGAGCTGGCGGCCCACGACCTTTGGTGAAGGCGGTGATGATGTCATCGACGGGCGGCAACACCTCCTTGTTCACTATGTTGGTTTTGAAGTTGAAGCCACCGGTGCTAGGCTGCTTCTCCGGTCCTTTCCGTTGCTTCCCCTTTCTCCTGCCTTTCCCGTGCTCGTCGGTGACGAGCTTGACGTCCGAATCGTGCGATTCACCGCCGTCGGACTCCTCGCGGCCCGACTCATCCTGCCGTTTACCGAGGACCGTTTTGCTACGAAGATCCATCACACGCCCAGAACGCTAAACGCCACCGAATAGCTGGCAATTTGCAATGACTAAGGTATCGCGAGTACCCTACAAGAAACAAACCACAAAGAGCACAAAGGTTGGATGATTGTTGATAGCTATCACGGAGGGAAAGGGTACGAGAGAGGGGAGCTGTGACGGTCGTGATGTGGCATGAAAGCTCATGTTCAGAGGTTGGCGGTGAGGATAAGTTTCATGTGCGGAGATTCACTCTACAACGGCAGTGAGCTAGACTACAGGGTTGGCACGAACTACTAGAGGTG